CTAAACTCAAACTCAGTCTCTTAACACCAACATGACTTCACTTAATTATCAGTAAGACACTTAATATACTGACATTGTCACTTGCACACAGCAATCTCTGTTATATTTTATTTATTTACATTTTTTTACCCCTATTGCTGCTATGTAACTACCCTGTACAACCTGTTTGCACATTCTTCTCTTGTACATTCCTGCTCATATAAATATTTATTAAGTCTACAGTATACTGTCCTGCGCATTTTTATTATTTTTTTCATCTTACTTTTTTCATACCTATTTTTATATTTAATTTTCTTGTGTTTGTATTCTTTAATAATTGCACTGTCCATGGAGCGGACCTGACTTACATTTCACTGCTGGTCATATATTTTCTATATAACCATGTATGTGACAAATAAAAATCTTGAATCTTGAATCTTGAAAATTCAATTTGCATACAATCATACATCTGCATACAATCAGTTTGTACTGACATGATTACTGATCTCACCTCTCTGAATAGAAACTTCTGGTCTTCAGGCACAGCTTCCCTGGGTTTACTGCAGTGATGCATGGTAAGGAATGTGGAGACAGGATCAGCCACGACGCAGCCTGCAGGCTCCCTCGTGTTATAACGGATCTCTTGGAGTGTGGAGTACTCAAAGAACTGTCACAAAAAGAGAAAGGAAGATAAATACACACAAGAAGCTCAATACATCATATTAAATATTACGGTACTCTCATTATAGCGACATTTTGTGAGCAAAAAAGGCCCATTGTCTATTGTGAAGAATAGTGTAGTGATAAATGGAAAAAACACACAGATTCCTATTGCAATGATTGGATTTCGCCCGTAAAATTTCACTGCGCATTACTTGACCTTCATATAATGTCTAAAATATTAATTCACACAATTTGAGATGGATTCTTTTACTGCAAAAAAGTGAACCACAAATAATTTCCAAAAGACAACACATTTAATACGCAATATTGCTATAATTGCTGATAAATTCTAACATTCTGTCAGTCTTTAGTATAGGGTCTCAGACACATCACCCTTCAGCAAGTGACATGATTCTGTGATATTAGTTGGTGGCATTTCATTCTGTAAAATTCAGAAAATTGTATGTCATAATCGTATATCACGCAAATTATCAAGCTATAATTCAATAAAGTTGCCTGATCTAAACCAGAACATATTTCTGAAGGTCTGCTATAACGTTTAATATAAATACTTTCTTAAATTACAACATAAGCATCTTTTTTAAAGTCTCAAACAGGATTGACCCACATGTACCAAACCAGATAGAAACAGAAGAGCATTTCTCTTGTATTCACAGAGAGAATCCATTAGAAGAGTGTTGTTGTGCTGTACATATGGCTGATATTGTGCGCTGATGAGTCTCCAGGGCTCATCTGCTTCCCCACAGAGAGGGAGGAGTCGAATAAAGTCACGCCGCTGTGGCAGGTGGCTGGAGTCGCTTTAAAAACAAGCGTGCTGTGGAGTACACAACACACTATTTTCTGTGCCGTCTTAATAACACATTAGAAGTGTGAGACACACTTTGATGTATATTCCTGAGGATGCATTACAATCTCTGTGTATTGTGCGGCAGTGAACACTAATTGGAGCAGTGTGGCTGACTGTCGTTACAGTTGAGAAAATTAAAGTTACCTGGTTTTGTCCCATGCCGTGACAAGGGTAAAGAATGACCTGGTGACCGGCCATATTGTGATCATCAGGTGGGTTGTAGTCAAAGCAGTAGTTGGCCATTCCTTTATTCTTCAGCTACAATTGAAAAGAGACAAAGAAACATTCAAAAAACAGGGTCCAAAAATCTATTTTTTCTTATTTAAAGGGATAGTTCACACCAAAATGAAAATTGTCATCATTTACTCACCCTCATGTTGTTCCAAAATCATAAGAAATTTGTTCATCTTCATTTGTGTTCCTAAGATATTTTTAATTTGCTGTCCCTCCACTGAAAATCTGTTCACCCAAATTTCTGACTCTTCAATTTTTATAATGTTAATAAAAGCAATTAAATCTGTTCATCACATCTTATGTTTTTTTTATGGTTTTTAAACGACATGAGGGCGATGAAATGATGACAGAATTTTCATTTTAGGGTAAACTAACCATTTAATAAAACATTTTTAATCAGAAATTACATCATCAGTGTAATATGAGTAAAAAGAAAACTAGGTTACACTTTATTTTGAGGTGTCCTTGTTACAGTGTAATTATACATTTAAGTACTGAGTAATACCAATTAACTACATGTACTTACTACATGGTTAGGGTTAGGATGAGGGTTTGGCTGAGTGTTACTTGCATGTAATTATGCATAATTTATTGGTATTACAATAATAAGTACATGTAAAGTGTAATAACGACACCTTAAAATAAAGTATTACCGAAAATTACATAGACATTAATATTTCTTTTAAGTATTTCCTTTTCATTTGAAATCATAATATGTTTGTTCTGAACTTCTAAAAATCTGAAAACATTGTTTAGGTCAACCTTTAAACGAAACAGTCTCAGATTTTGTCTACACTATGCCACTCGCTTGCAGTGCAGCTTTGTAGATTACAAAGCAACTGACCTCATTTCATCATGTCACACTATGCTTGCAGTGTAAACTCTGAACCAAACCAACCTGCTAACTGCTGTGGGAAATAGCATTTTAACTTCTTCATCTCTGCTGCTACAAAGATGAGCGTGTAAACATAAGAAGTTTGTCTCTCCTCACCATGCCAAACATTCCAGGCCTGTCCTCTGGGACTTGAATGTCAGGGTAGATGTTCTCCAAGAACCACTTAAAATCTTTACAGCCAAGATGCATTCGGAGTTTCCGTCTGTCCATCACATCACCATATGCTTCCTGAAACAAGCGTTAAAAAATGATGGATCCTTTTGAAGATATTTTACTACATTCAGTTTTTTTTTTTAATGAATCACAATTACTTCATAAGTGTTGGTAAAATAGGGTATAAGTTAATAATTGTTCTAAAATAGCATAAGGTATATACATGAAACATTATACATACAGTATACATTATAAAAAATCTACATTAAGATAAAACACCAGATATAATAGATAAATAAACTAACCAACTGTAAGTTTAAGTCCTTAAAGTGTAAGGCAAGTTATTAAATAATTAATATACTGCAGATTTGCATTTCCTATGTGCTTTGATGCAGTTTGAGGTTTATATTTATGCATATTTATTATGCATGTACAAATAAGTTATTATTTGCACATTTTTAAAAGAGAATATTTATTTTCGTAAACTGCGACTTTTTTAATTCTATCATTTTTCAGAGGTATGTAAACAACAGCAGGCACTTTTATGTCACCAACATGCTGAATTGTATATTGCTTGTTTGACACATATTTTATTGTTTGACAGCTGTGGTTCTGCAAAGAAACAATTGAAAAGAGACAAAGAAACATTCAAAAAACGGGGTCCAAAAGTCTATTTTTTCTTATTTAAAGGGATAGTTCACACCAAAATGAAAATTGTCATCATTTACTCACCACTCATGTTGTTCCATAATCATAAGAAATGTGTTCATCTTCATTTGTGTTCCTAAGATATTTTAATGTGCTGTCCCTCCACTGAAAATCTGTTCACCCAAATTTCTGACTCTTCAATGTTTATAATATGTTAATTAAAGCAATTAAATCTGTTCATCACATCTTATGGTTTTTTATGGTATTTAAACGACATGAGGGCGATGAAATGATGACAGAATTTTCATTTTAGGGTAAACTAACCATTTAATAAAACATTTTTAATCAGAAATTACATTATCAGCATAATATGAGTAAAACTTTTTAAAAGAAAATGGTTAGGGTTAGGATGAGGGTTTGGCTGATTGTTACTTGCATGTAATTATGCATAATTTATTAGTATTACAGTAATAAGTACATGTAACGTGTAATAAAGTCACCTTAAAATAAAGTATAACCGAAAATTATAGACATTAATATTTCTTTTAAGTATTTCCTTTTAATTTAAAATCATAATATGTTTGTTCTGAACTTCTAAAAATCTGAAAACATTGTTTAGGTCAACCTTTAAACGAAACAGTCTCAGATTTTGTCTACACTATGCCACTCGCTTGCAGTGCAGCTTTGTAGATTACAAAGCAACTGACCTCATTTCATCATGTCAGCATTTGTGTTACTAAAATAAAATATGAGTTATTTCTGAGAAACTACAGGCAATATTTTCTTTATAAACAACCATACATTCTAAAATGGAACTTTACATAGACATCTTTTACACAGACACAGTTGGCTGCTTCAGTCATCTGCATTCAGAGTTTATATTTTTGATAAATTTTTCTGTCTGTTGTGACAGACAAATATTCAGCCCCAATGTGAATAGAAAGTAATGTGAATTCCCTGTGGGAATCCATCAAGAATAGGCAATAATAATTCTTGCCTTAGTAAACACCACATGAACAGACTGTTTACAATACTCTCTCTTCATACTAAATCAACTGTTTTCAAAAAACCAAACATCTAATCAGATTTTGTCATCTTGTTTTATAAGCATTCTGGTGCAATTACCCTACAGCGGTACACAGCATATTGTTACATGCTACAACATCCTGTCTCAAAATAATGTTGTAACCCCATCTCAACAAACAAGACTGATAAAGGCCAAGTTCCTGTGTATGTTTGTGGTTGTGGTATCTCTTCATAACTGCCCATCAGACAAGAATTACTGGTGAGTGATGGTCCACACTTATGAGGAACATCTGCTGGAGGTAAAGCTCTGGCGAAGAGTTTCATCAGATCTGCAGTAAGATGAATGACAAGAAGTGCACTTCTAATGAACTAACTTGATAGCGAATCATCAATAATGTACGGCCCCACTGTGAATGCCAGTCGGGTGGCACAACATCACACCCATTGATGATCGGTCTGTGATCAGGCTTCAGTCTCAACAAAGTCCAGCTACACGCTGAATCAAGCGGCTGTCAAATTAAGCTTTCTGATCATTGAGATCCATCACAGAGCCTCGTTTTGGACTCTGTGGCATAACCGACAGAGATTTTGGCCATAAATAAAATATGCCGCGAGACTCGGACGGTGAAAGAGAGAGCGATCCTCTTACGAATTTGCGTGGAAGCAGAGTATGAAGGTTGTCAAACCTGATCCACGTTGCCAAGGCTAGTGTTTGCCTGTGGTTTATACCCAAAGAGAGAGAGAGCCTTATCTGCTGGCATCACATCAGATAGATTTCGAGTTAGCGGTGCCAACCTGGCAGCATCTCCAAAGTTCAGAGAGAAAAGAGTTACCCGATCTGTCACCAAGAGCACCTCTCTCTTTAACTACAGGGCTCGGTGGGGACAAACATAACTAAATGACAAACATGGCTGAAAGAGGTGACACAATTCACACAAAACACAGAGAGGACCTGAGGAGTTTCAGCTCACCTGCTAAATGTCATTCATTTAGAGCATATCAACAGATTCTGTGAAAGTAGGTGAGGATATATCTAGATTCTTGCAAAGAAAATGTGCGTCTTTCACAAGGGCTATGTAAGATAGACAGTGTGATAAACGTATTCTTTGAAAACAAGCAGACAAGAAAACAAAGGCAGAGTTATGCAACAGACCGCACAAGTAGGCGTACCAGACGAGCATGAGGGCTGCGATGGTAATACATTTCTTTGTATTCGTCCATCCAGACTTCTGCCGCCCGCACGCTGTTGGCCAAGGCCTTGTTTCTCGAGTATGGCGCTTTCTTCGGAAAGACGTGACCCACGTGAGAGCAAGGATGGATTTCCAGACTCCCTCCACACTGCCAGATCTGAAAAACACCAAGTCAGGAAATAGATTAGCCATCCGTAACAATACATAATATGACAATTCCCCAGGTGTATATTTCCTTGTACAGACCCATTTATACTTTGTGAGAAAAATATTGTGATATTATAATTAAAATAAATAATGACATAAATGGCTTTTTGTTTGGTCATTATTCTAAAGCTAAAGCAAATTATTCTTAAAATATAATCAGGAAAATATTTACTTTGTTTGAATTTTTCTGTGTATCTTTTTGTGCCAATTATTAGGCTATAGATAGATATATAATGCTGAAGATAAACATTTTTCATTTAATTAGACATTTATTTGTATAGCATTTAAATAATAAGAGTAAATATTGCTCCAAAGCCGCTTTAAAGACAAAACTGCCATAATATCCTCAGTAAGCAAGCTTAAGGTCATTACTGACCTTTGTATATTTGACCTATGCAGATTTGGTTTAGATTTTTTACTGTTTAAAACTATGAAACATCATGATTAATTCAACCAGAACAAGAACATTAAACAGTAGTAATATCAAATTTGGTTATTGTGCTAAATTATTACAATTTATACATTAAAGGCACAATATGTAATTTTCGCTGCTGGAGGACAGCAAATAAACAAAGAGACAAAGGCTAGTTTGATGACGTCGTGACTGAGTGGGGAATCATGGGAGTTGTGGTCTTCATCCCCACAGCCGAAGCAATCCGATGGGACTCGGGCAGAAATCATGTTCATGGATGAGCTAATAATTTATTATGTAGTAGAATGAAGCAGGGTGAGGCTGAAAGCCGTCGAAGCGAAGCGAGACCGCTGAACGAGCGTGACACACGGCTTGAAAGCAGCGTAGCTTTTATTATGCCACAGTCGACCGCTTCTGCTCCTTCCGGTCGTGCATATGTGAGGAAAAAGCAAGCTGCGCTGTTTTATCATACTAGATACATTTGAAAGTTCTGTTAAAATGCTACTCTGTGTGGTCGTCACCGGTCTATTAAAATGCACAACATATTAAAGCGTATTTGGTGTTTCCATGTTTTCAATAAAACAAAACCGGAAATCGAGGTGTTATGACGTCATTGGCAGGCGACACAATGACACTATGGACACGGTCCGTGTCACTAGTTAAAATGGCTTATTTCTCTGGATTTAAACATTCTTCGAAACATTTGGGATAATGTAAAGTATACAAGTCAGCAAAATATATAACACTGTTCTAGTGGTTTTTGGATATTTTAATAAAAAAATCTTACATATTGTGCCTTTAAATAGTAACTTATTTAATTGATATCTTAAGTTAAAGGAATAGTTCACCCAAAATGAAAATGTTGTCATCTTTTGCTCACCCTCATGTTGTTGCATACCTGTATAAGTTTGTCACCCTCATGTTGAACACAAAAGAAGATATTTTAAATAATTCTAAAGAACCTAACAGTTGTTGGTTCCCATTGACTTCCATAGTAGGGAAAGAAATACTATGGAGGTCAATGGGCACCATCAACTGTTTGATTACCGGCATTCTTCAAAATATCTTCTTTTATGTACAACATAAGAAAGAAACGTATACAGGTTTGGAACAACATGAGGGTGACAAACTGATGACAACATTTTCATTTTTGGGTGAACTATTCCTTTAACATGCTAACTTTCACAGCTGTAAAAGTTCCTGCCCATAGACAGATGCAGACAATAAATAGGCTGGTCTGTCATATTGCATTTACAGAGCAGCTGTCTGGTCTTTGTGACGTTCCTTGCTGAAATCTGATTAAAAACGCAGCTCCTGGCATTCAAGGCACTCAAAACACAAATGAACTATTGCTGTCTTTGTAACAGTGTTGGAATCCTTCAGGGGATGAGCTGAGTAATCAGAGGAATAATGAGTAAGTAAATGCTGCATAAACATTTAAGGTCGCTTTAGTCATCATGCTAGCTGGCAGACACTTAATAAAGACGCTGACTGAACTCTTAACCTTGTATGACTCATCGCACCGTTTTCAAACTAGGATTGTGACCATCTGTCCAAAGGCTTTCTCCCCTCAGGAAAACAAAACTTGGAGAGAAACGAGAGGAACATTTTTACAGAAAAGTTCAACAAAATGCACTTACTCTGAATGAGAACTCCAGGTTCTCTCCACCCCACACCTCCATTCCTGTGTCATATGTGCCCAGGTAATGGAAGTACTTCTTATTGACTGCAAACAAACCCCCAGCCATTGTAGGAGACCTGGATCAAAGCAACAGACAGCAATATTTCTGTGCTTCTAACTTAAAGTAACTTCCAGGAAAAGCATAAAGTAGGGTGACCATACATTCTGTTATTCCCAGACATGTCATATGTCCGGCATTTGGCCTTATACATTATATGTACACATATTTGCATTGCTATGACCGTTCTCTATAGATTCCACCTTCTTGCACACGACTGGTCAATGATGTACAATGCCTGCACACTATTGGTCAAACTACTTTTCAGTCATTAACTTTAGCAAGTATGAAAACAGTTTTTTTTTTTTAAACAGTCGAAAATCTGACATCTTAGGCAATTCTCATCCAGGACATGTCTGGGAAAATAGGGACATATGGTCATCCTACATAAATGCATGGTTTACTGTTGGTTTATTGTGTTTATTTGCATGAACATATTTCATTTTGGAGGAAAAACATTAAAATACGGTCACCTAAATGGTTCTGTTTCCTGAAATATGGTCATAAAGATCACAAAAAACTTGGTCTGCTCTGCTGAATGCTTTTGAGCTCTTTTTACGTGTAGAAAGAATTCTCATGATTCAGTAAATGCTCAAATTCTACTGACATATCAACCAAATCTCAGACTGAACATGTCAGTGTCATGCTGCATTGTTTTTAAACTGGAATGAGACCAAGAATTTAATTTCCCTTAGTATTTCCAATTGTTTTCCATTTGGTGCATCCATGAAGCACAGACCTGATGACATCAGTGGCAGAACTTCTCCGTTTCTGTTCATGTTCTGGGACAGTGTGCCACGTGAACACCAATCGCCAATCAAATCCTCCGATCTGAGGTTCTCCAGGGTTGCCCAGGTACTGGAAGGTGTTCCAGTCGATAACATCAATCACTGGACACACCACAGCCGAAGGCTCATCCTTTATTCTACAGGATTTTAAAAAATGAGAGATAAATATGAATTCCTTACAAAACAAACAGTGATGTGGCATGTAGCTTAGGTGTGACCTGAAAAAGCATGCACATTTTGTAATCCAAAAAAAGCAAATTTATATACAAATTTATGAAAATAATGCATGTTTTAGGTTGGTAGAGGGTAGTTTATCAGTCTCACCTCTGGAGTAAAGGCTCCAACCAGCCTTCATGACACTCACAGTGGCAATCGAGGAAGGTCAGCACTTCTCCTGTGGCAATGGACGCCCCTAGGAGCCGCGCTCGCACCAAACCCTCTCTCTTCCTTGCACGGATCAGACGCACCTTTTTGAGATTGGCGATGTAGTTTTCTAGAGGTTCTTTTAAATGATCTGTGGGTCAAATTCATGAGTAGTGCTCAGTAACAGCTGCAGGCCTAGAGGGAACCAGAACTTAGGACAGAAATAAAGTATGCTAATTAGCTGTATTAAGGAACAACTTGCTGTTTCACCACAGGGTGGAGCTGAGACCATGTTATTGCTGTGGTATTTTATTGATAAGAATCTGTTTTCAAACCTTGATTAATAGTTGTATTTGATGATTGATGATGAAATTAACACAAAATGATTTTTGTGTTTAAGGTATTTATTTATGTCTCTTCTGCTCATCAAGGCTGTATTTATTTGATCAAAAACACAGAAAAAATGTATATTGTGAAATATTATTGCAATTTCTAATATTTGTTTCCTGTTTTAATATACTTTAAAATACAATTTATTCCTGTGACGCAGCACTGAATTTTCATCAGCCATTACTCCAGACTCCAGTGTCACATGATCCTTCAGAAATCATTCTAATATGCTGATTTATTATCATTGTTGAAACTGCTTAATATTTTTTGGAACCTGTGATACTTTATTCTTTGATGAATAAAACGTTTTAAAAAAACAGCATTTATTCAAAATAGAAATCTTTTCTAACAATATAAGTTTTTACTATCAGTTTTTATCCATTTAACTCATCCTTGCTGAATAAAAGTATTAATTTATTTTAAAAGAAAGAAAAAAGAAAGAAAAAAATGACTGACCCCAAACTTTTGAATAGTAGTGTATGTTGTAACACAACATTTTCTATTTTGAATAAACTGTTCTTTTTAACTTTTTTATTTATCAAAGAATCCTGAAAGTAGTATGACAGGTCCCCCAAAAATATTGAGCAGCACAACTGTTTCCAACATTGATTATAAATCAGCACATTAGAATGATTTCTGAAGGATCCTGTGATACTGAAGACTGGAGAATGATGCTGAAAATTCAGCTTTGATCACAGAAATCATTTATATTTTAAAGTATATTAAAATAGAAAACTTATTTTAAATCACAACAATATTTCACAAAAATAGTTTTACAGCCTTGATGAGCATGAGAGCATGCTTCTTTAAAAAAACATAAAACATCTTACTGATCCCAAATTTTGAATGGCAGTGTGTGTATGTATATGTATATATATATATACAGTGGGTACGGAAAGTATTCAGACCCCCTTACATTTTTCACTCTTTGTTATATTGCAGCCATTTGCTAAAATCATTTAAGCTAATTTTTTTTCCTCATTAATGTACACACAGCACCCCATATTGACAGAAAAACACAGAATTGTTGACATTTTTGCAGATTTATTAAAAAAGAAAAACTGAAATATCACATGGTCCTAAGTATTCAGACCCTTTGCTCAGTATTTAGTAGAAGCACCCTTTTGATCTAATACAGCCATGAGTCTTTTTGGGAAAGATGCAACAAGTTTTTCACACCTGGATTTGGGGATCCTCTGCCATTCCTCCTTGCAGATCCTCTCCAGTTCTGTCAGGTTGGATGGTAAACAGTGGATGGTAAAAAATGATCCGTTAGAGCTGGATATCTGAGAAACATCAAACAAACTTTAAACAGTCCTGTGCAACATGGGCACTTACAGTGGATTCCATCTTTCAGGCAGCCTGCGGTGTAATGATATCCTATCACTCACATAAGTGTTTATCTGATGTTTTTTGATGCTCTCCTCCTCCTCTCGCTTCTCTTCTTCAGTCAGGTCCAGTTTAACAGCTCTACCCATCTCTCCCAACGCATTTATGTCTAGAGGAGGCTTCTCGTAAACAGGTTTCTTCAGTAATTCCTCGTCCACATTTTTGGGCTCCTCGACTGGAACTTCTCTTCGACTCGCCAGCCCGACATCACTGTGTGTGTTCCTATGAAACACTAAATATCCGACTACAAACGCCCCGAGAATGTACAGAATGAACTTGGGCCGACTCCGTCTGCCACATATTGCCATAATGTGTCCTTCTTGTCCGCCCTGGTTTCCTCAAACTGCTTGTCATCTAAAGTTCAATCATAAAAAGTTCGAAAAAAATTCGTCAAGGTAAGAAGATCTCGTTTTCAAAGTGCCAGATTTCATTTTATGGTCGACTAGAGTGAAGGGGAAGTTATCCAAGCAAACCGAAAGTTGGTCATTTAATCTGTGGTTGAAACCAACTGTTGAGGTGTGACTGACATGAACGGCGAGCAGAGCCGGTTGCAGACGGGGAGGAGTTGAAATCACATCCGTTAATGCGGACACTTTCCATGCGTTCGACATTAAACACACGACGCAGTTTACATTGTAAGCATTCATTTTGCCATTAATTGTAATAATCCAGTGAGATTTTTGTTTGCACAAGGAGTCTGACAGCAGCCAGTGCTCCACACAGAGATCTGATCTGATCATCATCATCATCAGAACAAACTGAGACGTCAAGATGCTTCAAGAAACCTACCTGCAAAGCTACAGTACTGTTAAAAGTTTTAGGCACTTGTGTAAAAATGCTGTAAAATGAGGATGCTGTCAAAATAATGTCATAAATAGATTTTCTTTATCAGTTAACTTCTATTAACTCAATTAAATCAACATTTGGTGTGACCATCCTTTGCGTTTAAAGCAGCGTTTGCCCTACATAGTTTGTCAGGTAGCTTTGCAGGTTTCTTGAAGCATCTTGACGTCTCAGTTTGTTCTGATGATGATGATGATCAGATCAGATCTCTGTGTGGAGCACTGGCTGTTGACAGACAAAAATCTCACTGGATTATTATAATTAATGGCAAAATGAATGTTTGGAAATGTAAACTGATATTTCATACTGACACACTACAGCAAGATATAGAAATAACTGACTTAAAACCATTTTTAGCTGGTGAAAATACTAGAGATCTAATAATTTTGGCCGCCACAGTATGGTATTTGTCAAAATCACAGTTTAAATGATTGTAAATGAAAAGTATAAGAGGTCGTAAGGAAACCATGTGAAATGATCCGTAATTTTCTATTGTTTTGTGATCAGGTCTAATATTTAACTCTAATCGTAACAAACAGAAACATAACAGCGGGTTTTTCTGCACAATTGTTGACCGTACACTCTTAAAAATAAAGGTGCTTCATGATGCCATAGAAGAACCTTTTTGTCTAAATGGTTCCATAAAGAACCTTTAACATCTGAAGAACCTTTCTGTTTCACAAAAGGTTCTTTGTGGCGAAATAAGGTTCTTCAGATTATAAAAAGGTAAGAAAGAGATGGTTCTTTAAAGAACCTTTGACTGAATGGTTCTTTGTGGAACCAAAAATGGTTCTTCTATGGCATCGCTTGAAGAACCTTTTGAAGCACCTTTATTTTTAAGAGTGTAGTTCCGAGTTAGTGCCTTGGAAGCCTAAATGTGTTAAAATTGTGCATCCCGATGCTGTTTGATGAGTTACAAAACATATACATCCACATAGGCTATGCATAATCTAAAAGATGTGCATTTTACATCAACCTCCAATAAACTAGTAATCCATAAACAAGACCATTGCATCTGATATTTGAATAATCTTGTGAAAAACCTGAAAATAGCGGATGAAATTTGAGATCAAATCAATTTTGTTTCTGACTCCTCTTTGACAACAAGATGGTCATTGAAGGTGTTTCTTTGACTCTGTTTAATATCTATAGGTTTTAATGCTTTCACTTTTGCTTTCAAAGTAAAAAGACATCGGAAAAACACTTTTTCTTTCTTTGGTTAATATTTTTTGTTATCAAATGTTTTATCCCTGTTGTCAGTGCCCCCAGTAGTAATCCCTGGAAGAGAACAATTCAGTGAATACATAAATATACGTTTTTAAATACATTCACCCCAACATTTACTGGTTTTGAGCCAGCCATACAGTGGCACGTCCTGCAGGTCTGAGCACTGAGCAGGGCTGTAGATTGATGTAGAGAGGGATTTGCGTGATCAGATTAGCAGGCTTGTTTGTCAAATAAGGCCAGCAGAACTGGAAGAGGCATAAAGAAAGAAATCCAGGTCAAATCACAGAGAGTCTTAGGGGTCACACACTGTGACAGAGCGCTAATCCAAATCCATTTAGTTCATGTCCGCTTTATAAACACCATTATGCCAAGATATACAAGTCTATCTATAATATGTGAAATCGTGTATGATTTAAATAATAATGACTCATTCACATTTCACAACCAGCCTAACTTTTTAATAGTTCATCTTGACAATAGAGCAACACACTTCTTTTTCACTATTTGAAGTTTTTATGTAGATAAATAGATAGATAGATAGATAGATAGATGATAAATAGAGAGACATATTATATATAGAACTATATACTGTATGTATATATAGTTCTGTAAAGCCAATATTTGTTGTGTACACAACTTCAGTTGTGTAGATGTACACTGTAAATGTGTAATGTTAATATACCAACCTATTGAAGTACTGAAATCTGTTTTGTACCTTTGTAATACACTGATAACCACCAAATGCAGGTGGTGATGAGAAAGTCACACGATGAACCAAAGCCCATCACAAGCAGCTTTTAAATAATAACATATATAGAAGGTGCACAGTGTCAAACATCAAATTTGAAATGTAACGCAGGGAATTCTGGGAATGTCAATTTACGGTTATTCACTGTAAATTATACGGTCTTTCACTTCCAAAAACAGTATACTACCATAAAATTAATGTCCAATACATGTAATGTCCAATACAGTTTTTCACCATATATAGTAGGGGAATTGACCGTTAACCATTTAACATGTTTTTACTGTAGCATTTTTAGTCTTTTACCGTTAAATTCACAGTAATTTTTTACAGTGTACTATTCAGTCATACTGTATAGTGTATATCTGTTAAGACATCACTTTTCTCACAATTTCTGCCATATTACACAATTTTGTCTCTTTTAAATGGATTTGAACGTGTTTGCATTAAATTATTGAAAGTTTTATTGAAATAAAATTTAATCCATATAATCACTTGCATGTCGCTAGTGTTAGAACCAGTGTTCATTGTACTGGAAATTAAATTAGTTAAATAAACTTTGTTTTTATTAAATGAAGCATGAAACATTTTTGTGTCTGGAGCATAATTTGTGCCTGGAAGAGTTTATATCATGATACAATTATACATTCTCTAGTGACCTGATGGATATTATCTAAATAAATAATACTAAATTACCACAAAAAAAAGAAAAAAAAAAAAGGAAATCAAGTTGTTTGAACAACCACTGCACGACCTCAAGGGAAATGTGATGAGTTCTTCATGTCTAATTGCCATCTTACTCATTGCTGCGATATTCCCAGAGGAACAACAGAAACGTACATAATTGGCATCAGTTTAAGGGGATTCATCACACACCTATTGGCCACAATCCAATCACAAGTCATAGGGGAAAGTACAGCTTTATTTATGGATGCAGCATGATAATGTTCAGTGACTCCAGCTTTATTTATGTAGTTGTGTGGCACACCTGGAAAGTGAGCCATTAAACATTTGAGCCTGACTTGGCAGAACCTCCTGTGGTTCCTCGTGATCTGGTTTATACAAGAAGCTCAGGTCACAAATGTAAAACTGCAGGGAACACCTTATTTTAAGGAGATGTAAAATTGGGAACTTTACCTGATCAAATCTCGACTGAATGCATTTAACATGGAAATAAAACAGTTTGGATTCTAATCCCACATCTTGTTTTCCCACCACTAGATGGCACAGCAACAGAGAGTCAATGTCAAGATAAACAAACCACCACAACAACAATACAACATTTAGAACTTTAATTTAATTTATTGAGACAAAAATACTTCGTACTTTTTTTCCATGTTCCAAAAATACTTCATTACAGTCGATCAGCAAATCACATGACCACCACAAACTGTGCTTTATCAGTAGTAATTCAAATTTCATGTTCACTTTCCCACAATCCCTTTAAACCATTTAATTCACTGACAATTACAAAGAATGAGACCTAGAAAACCTATGTTGCCATTTTAAATGCATTTAGTGCAAAAATAAGGTGTTATCCATGTTCGGTTATTTATGATATAGCATTTTCAAGATGTTTACCAAACGCATTAATACATTATTCCGTTTTGAATGTGTGAAAGCTGGAAGACCCGTGATAAAAGCACCTAGTCAATTTGATAAAGTATTGTAATACTCTGATTTGTGAAGGAAAAGCCACCTTTTTAAAAAGTCAGGCTGATGAGGCACTTTTGGCGAGTCTAGGAAAACAATTCACTGGTAAAGTGGATAATTCCCAAATGTGTAGTAGAGAAAAACTACTAAAATGGTTTAGGATTTGACAAATTTGGTCCACAATTGCTGTACATTTTATACCAACTCTGAAGTACAGTTTCTGTAATCTACTTCAAACTGAAGTGTACATACATTATTAACAAACTACCTGAACACTGCTGTTAGTGCAAGTGAGACCTAAAACGCTGGTACAGTTCCATCAACACCAGTGTGCCAAAAGAGTCCATGCAGCTTACACAAAATCAGGTGAAAAGACCCTAAATACCCTAGTAATACAAAAACCAGCCTCAAAATGACAAAAAGGAGAACAACAGTTGACAATCAAGACAAACCCACTAACAACATCCTCAAATCAGTCATTTCTGGTACAATTAAATAAAATTGCTGTGCAGTAGATCTAAAAATTAGTTACTGCCGAGTCTAAAATCGATTCACTAAAAGCATATAGTGCATCAATGTAAACAAAAGATTTGCTACAATGTGTTATTAATATGCACTTTGTACTTATAATAGCACACTGAACGTCTAACAAGGAAACGCAAGAATTGGCACTACAAGTATGTCCACTTTGGTTTGCAAAGGCACTGTATGGAGGGATGGGTCCCATTTTTTTTGCCTGTTCTTCGCTCCTTTTTTAAATGCCAAGCTGGAAGTGACGTTCTGTTTGATAATTGCACTTGCATCCAAGTTCACATGGGGTTTAAAGTCACTCGAAGCTCC